TGTGGGAACACACATGTATACACACACAGTAGCTCAACTTTTTATTCTTTAACGAGAATTTAAATGTCCTTGCTGCCAGTTAAGTTATGAAGCTGTGTTTTTGATGGCCCTCTGTTCAAGGTGCCCATAGCCTGGAGTAATGAGATGTGTCCACAGAATTTCAGTTCAATGACAAAATGCCAAACTTGTCAGCAGACTTTCCTGGGAGACAATAAAGGCAGTGATTAATCCTGCTCAAGAAGGAACAGAAAAGCCAGGGACGGGCCCTCACCTGGGCCTCTTGATGTGTACAGTTCTGATCGGGGCTCCTCTGCCTGTGCCCCCAGCGCCCGTCCACTGCCCCGCCTACTAAACATAGTCCAGATGATTGGGACCTTGGAATCCCCTTCCAATAAACCTCCGTCCTGCTTCCAGGGCTGTGGAAGTCCTGGTCTCTGGGTCTATTTCCCCAAGGACAGGCCATGCCAACAGTGTCACCCCCATAGATCTGAGGGGCAGCCTATATAAACTTGGATATGTGGGCTGGAGTATCCACAAATATGCATAGGAAACTCCTTGAGGGCAAAGCCAGCGATAGGAAGAGAAGGAAGGGGCAAGGGATGGAGGCTAGGGGTCATTTCTTCCTGTTTCCTTGACAGGGACCAAAAATTCTAAATTCAAAGCAAGCCTCCCAGATGGTTATAAAGGTGTATGTGTCAGGTCAGAAGACAGAACACTGTATAAGGCTGCAGAATATTTCAGTGGGTGCTTCAGTGGCCGCCCTTGTTCTCTGGCTCCAGGTTGTGTGTATGTTAGGGTGGGCTGGAGGGAAGGCTTCCCAGAAGAACTATTTGAGATCAGCTTTGAAAGTATGCGTTTTCTCATACTTTCATGTGTGTTCAGGCCACTGTGGGTGGTCAGTGGCATGTTGCTGGGTCGGGAGGTTCGTGGAGGAAGCAACAGCAGATATACCCATCAGTGAATGCCAGTGAATGACCCTGGATTGCCATGGCACTGGGATTCTGACCGTGCATTGTGGGAAATCTTTGGCCATGAGCAGATGGGGTTTTAGGCAGTGAGGAGGCTGAAGAGAGGGGAAAAGGCTGGAGATGATGAGGCCAGTTTGGAAGCTCTTTCAGAGTCCATGGTGTGGGACTTATGGCCTGAACAAAGGCCATGTCAGCTTCTCTGCAAGCTATCTATGTTATCTTAGGGGCGTCTCTGCCCTCAGCAAAGGAAGGCTTTCTCTGAGGTGTGAAACAGCTCCAGTGAGGCAGCATAAAGAGACCAACCTAAGGAAATACACTGTCAGGAAAATATAATTTCTCCTTATCCAAAAATATCTGAAGGCCAAAGCACCACTTCCCTTAATTATGAGTGATAAGCTTCAAGAAATATCTTTCTTTATTCATTCACATTATTCACATTTTATTGTTAATCACATTATTTAGTACTTCTCTTCATTTTGCTCCTTCTATGGATTCAGCTTTGCCTAGGAGTCTGTATTTGCCTGAGCCTGCTGCCTGTCTTTCTTGTTTTTCCTTTCTTCCTTTACCCTTTTCTTTCTTCTCCATTTAAAATTTTCTTTATAGTCTTGGGATGTATGACTGGAGTTTAAATAAAATTGTCACGACTGAAAACACATATCATAGAGACCCTGGTGTCCCAGGAATAGGACATAAAGAATAAGGACTGGGAAATGGAATTTTGTAGAATGGGGCAGGAAATGTGTAAGCATTTTGCATTTCTAAAAGCCTCAGGTTAAGGATGCTGTCCTGACCTGGAGCAGCTGGCTGACACTTCTGCTATGGGCGCCAAGGACCTCGCATAGATTCACCTGAAGGACATACAATCACCCCCAATGCACCAGCAGCCTTTATTGAACTGTTCATTCATATGTGCCATTTACCAGAAAGTAGCTCTAATCTTTCTTCCATGATTACTGGATATGAATATCAAGTTTAAATTTACATATAGGGTAATTTATATTTATAAATTTGTGTATATATTTGTATATAGGATAATATATATGGGCTTCCCAGGTGGCTCAGTGGTAAAGAATCTGCCTGCCAATGCAGGAGCCACAGGAGATGAGTGTTCAATCCCTGGGTTGGGAAGATGTCCAGGAGGAGGAAATGACAGCCTGCTCCAGTATTCTTTCTGGGGTAATCCCTTGGACAGGGGAGCCTGGCAGGCTACAGTCCATAGGGTCGAAAACAGTCAGACAAGACTGAGCATGCGTGTATGCACATGGGATAATCTTAGTGGTCTCAAAACTGTCTTCTTTTATGTCCTTATTAGTTATGTTCTATATGACACGTGGTAGTATGTATGTTTAAACGTTATATACAGCTATTCAAGTACTGTGGTGTGGGGTGGGAGTTGGGATTATCCGAAAACTACCCTATAATATCTTTTAGAACTGCTTTCCTTTTATTTGTTTCTCAGATATTTATTGACTCACTTTCTGTCCAGGCTCTGTGCTAGGCATTGGGTATACATTTGTATGTACAGAATAGAAAAGATTCTTGACCTTGTAAAGCTTTCAATCCAGTCTGCAAGACAGACACTAGACCAGCCATGAGAAGGAAGCATGAGGATAGGATCTTTAGCAGAGATATGAGACTGAGAAGGGAAGAGAAAGGAGTCAAGGAAGATTCTTTAAAGGAAATAATAGCCAATCTGAGACCTCAAAAATGATAAGGAGTTACCTAGCAAAACTGGGATGATAAGAATTACAGGCAGATTGGATCATGTGAGTAAAATTCCAGACACAATAGAAAACTTAGCAGGTCATGAGAATTAAAAAAAAAAAGTCCAATATGGTAGAAGTATGTTACATGATGGGATCTGGATGGGGAGACAGTTGGGTATCTGGGTAAGGAGCTAAATCTAGAAGATGGATGGGAATCAGTTCAGAAAAGGTAGTGACCCTCTGACTTGAGAGCAATGAGAAATTCCTAAGGTATTTTAAGCATGGGTGGGTCACTATGGTGGAGAGAACAGGGAGAACAGTTAGGAGGCTATTGGAATAGATAAAGTGACTACATCAGTGTCTCAGCTTAAATGTCCCTGCTGAGAGGACTTCCCTGACCCCTAGACTGAATCAGGGCCCTAGGACTCTCTCTCATAGAACCTTATATTTTCCCTTTGTGACATTTATTAAAACTATTACTTATTTCTTTTGTAACTATTAGTTTTACTAAATATCTCCCTTACTAGACAGTGAATTATTCCATGAAGCCTGGAACCTAATGTTGCTAACCTAATGTTAGCAATATTAACTGCAGCACCTAGAATAGCACCTTGCAAATGGAAAGGACTCCATAAATAATTTGTGAATGGATGGATGAATGGACTTGAAGAGAAGTGAACTCATCTGTGGGATACTTGGGGGATAGGAATCAATAGGACTTGGTATTGCTCAGATAAAGCTGCTGATAAGGGGAAAACAGTGGTCAAGAATGATTCCTCCCTCCCCAACACGCCCCCCCGCCCCCTTGTAAAAAAAAGAATGATTCTCAGACTTCTGGCTTGAGCAGATAGATGGCGGTGTCATTTATGCGAAGGGAGACACTTGGGGCTAGAGAGGTGGGAAAAGCAGGTTTTTGGCAGGGTTTAGATTATGAGTTCAGCAGGTTGAGCTGTGCATCAGATTTTTTAATCCTAATACTGGAAGTCACATTTCAAGTCTCCCTTACCAAAACAGCAAACCAACAACAAACAAAAGAAATAACCATAGGATAAGTATGAATGGACTAATAGTTTGTACTTTTATTATTCAGTTTTCCCCAGGTTGTTCTTTGTAATCCTTTTATTTTAGCAGACAAACAATTCATTAAATTGTCAGTATGCAATGTGTCTGTGTGTTAACATAGAGACATCATTCCACAAAAAAGTCACATTCTCCTTAATGCAAATTATTGCATCCTTATATTGATAAAGACTTTAAAAACTAAGAAAGGTTAGGATATTGAGAATATAGTAGATATTATTTTACTTTAGTAGTTTTTTATCTTATAATGTTTTTATGGTCCAAATGGAAACTGAAGAAAAAAGAAGAGCTCTTTCCTGCTTTATTTTTATTTTAAATATTTCCACACGATATGTCTCTAATTTGAAGGCTCTAATTGAAGTAATTGTCAAGGATCTCTTACATACTTATATTGTCTTTTAAATTGAAACCCTCTGATATTTTATGGATAATTAGGAGTTCACTGGTGAAATGAGGTAGTAGAGAAGACCTTATTACAGAGAGGGAATGATATGTACAAAGGTATTATGGTGAGAGGAATTTGAGAGAGAGAGAAATGGCATTGCTACTAAAGTTGAGAGAACAAGGTGGGCATGTCTAAAATCATGTCTAAGGCATAGGCAAGCAGGGACTGATCATGTAGACCATGTTTTAAAATTCTGGCCTTTATCCTAACTTCTAGGAATCTCTAGACATTCTGGGTACATAGTAGGTATTCAATAAATAGTTGCCCTATTCTTTTTTGAATGCCATCTATGCTTTTCGACTCAATGTAATTACTGATCAAATTCATCCTTCTGAATATTTGCAGCACAGCTGATAATGGACAGCACAGCCAATTTCTGAGAACGCTACTTGATAATGTTTTCCTTGAGTCTTTAGGAAAACGCTCTCATACAAGGGCACCCCCTCCAAAAAAGGCTGAAGCTCTCAGGGTGGTTTGGAGGAAGTGTAACACTACTGACAAGGACATAACACAGGAGACCTTGACTTATGAGCGAGTAGCAGCGTTTAAGCATTTCGTAGCCTTAACCCTTCAGTTGCAGAGCACAGATTTAAAGAAAAAGCAAAGGAAACCTAAGGCTCTGAAATTTCACTGGAAATTTTAAATTTCAGACTTGGGAGATTTGCTTGCATTCCAACAAGAGTAATAATCTCAGAATGTGTTGAGTTCAGATTGAATACAAAAATTATAGATTGATTCTGACTTAATTAACTTTCCTCTATGTTTCTTTTTCTCCCTTCTTCTTCTCTTTTCTTCCTATAGGTGGTTCAGAAGTGTATTCCTTTCCTAATTGGGCAATTGAAGGATTCGACCCATAACGACATCATCCTAAACATCCTCATAGAGATTGCAGGCTACGAGCCAGTGGCTTTGAACAGTTTTCTTCCAATGCTGAAAGAGATTGCTGAGAGATCCCCCTACCTCATTGGACAAATGGCAAGAATCTATGGGGCTGTCGGGCATGTGGATGAAGTAAGTATGGCTTTTTTCTCTTCATTTCCCTAATTTCCATTGGCACTTAATCCATTGGAGCTCTATGATATACAGGTATATCCTGAGACTTCTGAAAGTTTCCATTTCTCTCTCTCTCTTTTTTTTTTTTTTTTTGGCATGGACAATGGCCTCTGGATCAAGGGCATGTTGTAGCAGGGTTATATGAATTGTTCAGGAAGTGAGGATTTCATCGCTGATGTGTCACCCAAGGAAAGGAAAGGGTTACAATGGAGAGAGCCCTATGATAGATGGAGACCACTTTGTAATAACAATAACCAGCAAGATTTTCATCTCACTTCTGTTTGCCATTCTGCTTAACCCAAGAGACTGTCAGTAAACATGGAGTTAGAGCTCAGAAACTGCCTATTATTGAGGACCCATCTATTCTGTCAATAAGTGCCTGGATTCAGCATGTTTTGAGCCCTCTCCATGATGTTCCTTGGGAGAGTGCAATAAATGTTCATGGGTGTTTGAAAGTCCTAGTCTAAATATTTGCATAATAAAATCTTTCAGCAGCGACAACAGGATGCCATCAGAGCTTGTGGGGATTAGGCAACTAAGAAAGAATTTCCAGAAATTAAAGTTCTGAGGGGTGTGTGCATGCATGTGTATACACACATGCATGTCTGTCTGATGATTTTATGTTGGAATTGAGGATTTTTATCTTTTTAAAAATAAAAGCAAATGTGTACTTGATAGAGGAAGGCTTTTACTTCATGCACTTACCTATACTATATATTTCCTATTTGATAACTATAAAATTGTTTAACTCTTAAAAAGGATTTCATAGTTCACCAAGTTTAGCCTCTTAAGTCCTCAGAGGAAAAAGTTAGAAACTGGAAAGGTTAAGTGACTCATCCAGACTCAGCTTGGGTTAGTTGGTGACCCAGTGGAAATTAGATCTTTGGTATCCTTGGCACTGTTTTCAAATTTTGTCTTAAAATGGTTCTTTGGTTCTGTTTTGTTTGATTTCTGGTGAGATTTGTGGAGAGCTGGTGAGTGCCAGGCTTCTTCCTGGTGGAGAGTCTTTCTCCTTTAATTCACCAGAAGGTGGAAGAACTGGGCCCCAAGCAGCCTGTACTTGTGAGTGTGACAGTGGCTCTTGTGAAAGGATTACTCAGTACTGACATGCTGCTTAGCATAATCCCTTTCTGTTCACTGCTGTTTGGAATGTCTCATGCTTGCCACGATCTGCCTTCTGCTGACACTTTCTGTGCCCCGTCACCTTTGCTGCCAGGAGAACCTGTGGTATGCCCGAGTGCTTTTAGGCCAACTGTGACCAACAGCTGTTTGACTGGGTCTGCTGACCTTGCAGATTTTTGCATGGACCAAAAAATTCAACCTCTGATGGGCAAGGCCTTGGAATCTTTAAGTTAACATTCTTTTTGTCACAAACACATTTATGATTCATTAATGTGTAGTGAGAGCGTCCCTGGTGGCTCAGTGGTAAAGAATCTACCTGCCAGCGTGGGAGAGGAGGGTTCGGTCCTCGGATGGGGAAGATCTCCTGGAGTAGGAAATGGCAACCCACTCCAGTATCCTAGCCTGGGAAATCTCATGGACAGAGGGGCTTGGTGGGCTACAGTCCATGGGGTCACAAAAGAGTCGGACCCAACTTGGAGACTAAACAACAATATGCAGTAATGCACATTGGAGGTGACTACACCTCCCCAGAAAATGTAATCTGTAAACAAAACAAAACAAACAAAAAACAATTCTAGCTACGGTCAGTTTACCTAAGCTAAGGCTAATCTGAGAGGGAATGGACTATTAGGTGATATTTGTGTGGCTCCAGGTGAGCATATAGAGAAAAGGGGGGCCAAAGAGCCTGAGGAATCACCTATTTCAAAATTAAGAATATCAGAATATTTTCTCTTCTCTGTCTCTCTCTGTCTCTTTCTCTTTCTCTCTCTTGCTCTTGCTTTATCTCTATCTCTCATTCTTACATACCCGTGGAGGCATCTGTGTTTGGGAGAGAAAAAAAATTTTTTTCTGATTCTTCTGGTCCAGTTCGTCAGCCAAGAATAATTCTAGATCAAACACTTCCCAAATGTATGGGGATATCAGGATTATATTAGGAGCTTTTTTCACAGTCTACGTTCTTGGAGCCTATAGAATACTTACTGAATCAAAGTTTCCAGGAAAGGGACCTCCCCAACCTATGCCAGTGTAATTCTTATTTTGGTTGTGCAAGCACATGGCTCTTAGTTCCAATCCTATATACCTGTATCTATACATCTATATTTTTGGCCTGCCAGGGTAATTCTGATGCAGCTTTTCGTGAATCAGTATTTGAGATCCCCTGACATAATATATTTAAAGCAAGAGTCAATCAGGCTTTGTCCATCACCCATCCTGCCTTCCTCCATAAAGTCATGATAATAAAAGTTTTCCAGACTATTGATACAGCAGTTTAGATTAGATGTGGTCAAGGGTAACACAAAAATTCAAAACAAAATTGTTGAAACAAAGATACACATCTGTTTCTCTTGCACATAAAGAAGTCTAGAGGGCAGTCAGTCTAGAACCCCATGTTTCAGAAACTCAGGTCCCCCTTCTCCTTCGTTGCTCTCCCATCCTGGAGCATACCAAAGAGCACAGGGCTTCCATCTCCTGGTCCAAGATGGTTATTCTTCTCCACCCATCAAGTGAGCATTTGAGCCAACAGGGGAAAGGGGAGAAGGACTCTTCCAGACAAATACAGCCTATTCTTTATATCCCACTGGCTAAATAAAACAAAGCTGCAGATGACCATAGCTGTAAGAGAGGCTGGACTGTGTACTCTGGATTTAGGTGGCCACACGCACAGTTAATCAAAGAGAAGGACATTAAGAATGACTGAGGGCAAGGAATGGCTTGTTGCAGTTCATCAAGTGATTTTCTCTGGGTCTCTCTTCTCTCCTCAAAAACAAATAATATCCATATGCTAAGGACATAATGTTCAAGAAAATCCCACAGATTTAGACATAAATGCATTCAATGTCAACAGCAAGAAGTTAGAAGCTTATTGTTAAACTATTATGCAGACATGAAACATGTTTATGAAGTCTCATGAAGGACTGATATAAGGAGGCTTTGTTGCTGTTTATTGTTTAGTTGCTCAGTCATGTCCAACTCTTTGCAACCCTGTGGACTGTAGGCTCACCAGGCTCCTTTGTCCATGGATTTCCCAGGCAGGAATACTGGAGTGGGTTGCCATTTCCTTTTCCAACAAGGAGTCTTAAATAACTATTAAATTCACACACAGATGCACACGTACATATATAAAATATATATAATGTCTTTGTATTGGATTATCTCCCTTCCGGCGCTGATATTCTTGAATTCCATTATTCCATTTCATTTAAGATCATCCTGACAAAACTACCTTAAATGTTAGTCAGAATCCTTTATTCAGAAATAATGCCTAAAATATCACCCTTTAGTTTTAAAGAATGCTAAAACTCAGTTGTCCCAAGAATCAGTGACCTAAGCAGCTATTAACTGCTTAATCTGAGTAAACCTGTTCAATATTCTAAAACTTTTGTGGTGCCATATTCCTAAAGACCAAAACCAATAGGCAAGATATATGTGTATGGTTATTTCTACGCAGCCTCTTTCCAGAAGGAAACAGGAAGTTACAGAAATGCATTGTCAGGTGGGTTTGAGGACAGAAGTCAAGTACAGGCTCCTGGCTGCCCATGGAGGAGGAAACTGCAGGTAAAAGAGAAGAGCAGAAACTTTGCTCTGAAAAGACCCCACTGTTTTCTGTATGGAGAGCTTGGCATACGTGAGGTAAGGGGACACAGGGATATATGAGACGTGGAGATGTTTAGGGTGCTCGTGATGGAATAGCTGCAATACCCTACTGACCTCGGGCCCTAGCATCCTCTCTCTCAATCGTACTCTGGTCTTATCTAAAAATTGACTTAATTAAATTTCTTTTCTCTTTGGCACCATGTAAAATTTTCAGATGTACTCAGGGTTGCCAAGTATTAGATGATATTTGTTGCTAGGATTTAAAAGATTTTAGAAATGCAGAAAAGTCATTGCAACTTTGAGTATCTTGCTCTGACTTTTGAGATGCACAGTTGGTGATTGATTGGAGCCTACTGTTGATCCCTCTCTTGTTGCCTGCCTTCCACCAAACTACAGTGTTTGATCCTTAAGCGGAACCGGGGTGGGGAGGCGGGGCTCTCCAGTGGTGTGGGACCCTCAGGCCTGGCATAACCTCAAGGGCGGAGTCGGCCTGGAATCAGTCTCACACATTATTAATTGACTTCTGCCCCATGCTCCGTGCCTGCATGAAGGCAGGTGTAGGAACTGCAGGGCTGGCTATGGGGAAGCATACCAGATGCACCTGTCTTTCATATCAGCACCCATCTGGGTAGGCAAACTCTTTACAACAGCTGATAGCAGTCACAATCTTCCCATCTGCTGGTGTAAACCCAGCACAGGGAAGCTGTTCTATAAAACAAAAATTAGCATCTATAGTTTCTTATTTTCTCTGTCTCCCAAATTACCTCAGGGATATTTTTTTGCCCAAATTTGAAATGAAACCATGCTTAATAGCCATATAGTGTTTGTGTCACTATAGAAAGCTGTATAGTGACTCACAGGCAATTTTCAGGTGTGTTCTGGCATCTAACATGCATCTGTTGGATGGAGAGTAAAACTAAGAGGACCAAAGGGCAGAGAAATCCATCTACGTCTCGGATAACTGATGAATGGTCGCCTCTGAGGTGCACCTTCCTTGGCCCTGTCCAGTGAAGGACACAGGGACTCCTCATTGTGCCAGAATTCACTCCACTTCTGTGATATGTTCAGTGGAAGCAGATGCATAAATAAGAAATACTGTTTTATTAATATCAGATACATCCTCAGCGTGGCAAAAGCACACAGGTCCTTCTGTCTTTCTCAAGTGAAGAAACTGTAGTGAAGAATGCTGGATGATAGTAGGATGACATAGTAGCTTCTGAGGGTCCATTCCCAGACTTACA